TAATTGTAAAAGACACCATGATCATTTTTTCTTCTGAAAACAAAATTAAAGCTTTGCAACTGCGACACTGCAGTTTCACTTGTTTTCTTTGTTAAATCCAGACAAAATTAAATGTGGCCTCAGCCAGAGCCACGTCACCTCTAAGTACTTCACGGACGAAGGTTCCTTAGCAGACTTCCCTTGAAAAAACGATCGTTCCATTGCTAAGGGAAGTATGAAAGCAAATGGTCTGTAAGATGAAATTCTAGATTTCCAACATACGCCATGAAGCCCCAAGCCTGGTCCCCTCTCAGGCTTTATCTTCCACTCCTTTCTGCCTGGAAACAAACTCTCCACCAACAGCAAGCAGCCTGTATTTCCCCAGAAGGACCACAGTTTCTCATCTTGTTAATTTGCTCACATTGTAACTTCCTAACGACTACTGCCTGGTGGTTTGACTGTATTATTTTTTAAATTATATTAGCCAATGAGAAACAAACACCATATTCTGCCCCAAGTGGGGCTGTGCCGGGAGAGTTCCACTAGTGGGGTGGGCAGGGTCCAACACAGGTCTGGTGTCAGAGTGAGCCAGGCCTCAGGTCCCCTGGAGCCCCAGTGGTGGGCCAGCAGCTGGGCTGCAGGAAATCTTCCGCGTCACCTCTTGCCTGGGGACCCGCAGACCACAGAGTTAGACAGAGCCGGGCTGCTCCCACGAGGAGCGGCTCATGGACCGCCCACCAGGCTGGGGCTGGGCCAGAGCAAAGGTGTTCCCTCCGGCCAGGCAAGGACCCCCTGATGCACAATACTCCCCAAGTCAGCCCCAGACACTCTCCCCTTTATCTGTTCCACTACTCAGCTTTCAGGTCAGTGGCCTGCAACCGGGGATTGGGCAATGTCCAGAAACATTTTTGGTTGTGAACAGTTTGGGCTATGGGAAAGGGAAGCTGCTTTCATCTAGACAGCAGAAACAGAGACGCAGCTAAATAACACCCACAAGGAACAACCACCTGGCCCCGAAGGTCAGCAGTACCAAGGACGTGGAAATCGAGCTTCCGGTCTAACCTCTTTACCACACTGGCCTTGGAAGGTTTTCCTGAACACCCTAGACTGGGTTAGGTATCTCTGCCTGGTTTTCAATAGTTCTTATCAGTGCCCTGTATAAAAATCTGTGCCTTCCATTAGATCCTGTGTTCCTTTAAGGCAGAGACCTTTGGCTCCAGGGCCTGACACACACAAGGCGCTCATTAAATAGCGCTTGCTACCTGCCAATTGCAATTGATACAATCTATGCCTCCTATAAAAGAAACCCCAGATCTCAGCTGGGCACAGTTAACTGGAATGAAAACATTTCCCAGCCTTTCTTATAGTTACATATGGCAATATGAGTAAGTTATGGCCCGTGGAAAGCGAGAAATGCTGCCTGGAAGCTTATAGGAAACACTGTCCAAGAGTATGAAATGTCCTCTCTTCTGCACACAGCCCCTTTCCATCTCGCCGTTTCGGATGTGGATGAAGGGATGGGATGAAGGGAAGGGAAGGGATCCCCAAGCCACGGGGATGACGGAGCCACAGCCGGACACAGTCCAGATGGCAGATGGCCGCAGAGCAAGACAAGCAGCCCCGGCCGCTGTCCCTCATGGAGCAGCCATGATTTCTCTGAAATCTTTATCATTTTGGAAGTCTGATATCTGCAGAAAAATCTAATCCAAATTAATAAATGACTCAATAGCCTACGATGTCTACTCTTTGCTACCAATTACTATATCCTCCAGGAAAGAACAGATTTTGCTTTGTTCATTCATCTTCTTGCTCTGCTTCCATTCTTTCCTCACCGACAAACCTGGAAATACAGTGCTGCTTTCCTTGCACACCGTGTTTTGCCCTGTCACTTTCACCCCGTGTTTATTCCATTGCCCTTCTCCAGCTAAGGCTCTCAGCCACTTTATCGCCTCAGTGTCACTGTAAAGATCCATTTCCTTAGGCAGCATTTAACACCCAGATTTTTATTTTTTGTCCATGTTTGCAGTCCAGAACAATTACATCCTTGTGCGGAGTCGGTACCTCGACATCACACATCCGCATTCTTCTTCATTCTTCCTTTATCTTTTCCCCCCATCCCTCCCCTGCTTGGTCTCCTCCACTTATAGCACCTAGAGCTCGGGAAGCTGGTCTACTGCCTTCGCAAAGGATAAGCAATGAGTCCGCAGACTCGCTCTCTAGTAACTTTCTAGGGGAAACATGCAATATTTATGAAATTTTTCTAAAATATTTCAATCTGAGCTACTAGAGCTCAGATAACCCTAATTTATGTACCATTAATTCTCCATGCTTTTCAAGTGCTCATAATTTTTACGAATACAGACCGTCACTCTCTTGATTTGTTTATAATATTCTTGTTTTCCTTAAATTTTAGAAAATCTTAAGTGGATGTTTAGTTACCTTTCTCTGTTAATCAATCTTGTAAGATACATGAACTTCAAACTTTCAAACTGACAAAGATTCTTAATTGCTACAAACCTCCACCTCCTGAACCTTCTCCTAGGTTCATCTTTTTTTATAAAATGCATCTTGAGCAAAGAACTCCGGTAAGATATTTTAGCAACATCCTCATACATGATAAAGTTTCTCAACACACACACACACACACACACACACACACACACACACACACACACACGATGTCTAATCACCCTGGTTTGTTGTCAGCAAGAACCCTTTTAGGTTGCTCTAGCCTCCTCTTTACCCCTGGTGTTTCCCCTTAGTAACTTCCTACCCATTGTCTTCTGAGTGTAAGTTACCACTGGCCCAGGCTGCCTCCTATTTGATCTCTCTCTGTCTCCTACTCCAAGACCCCTCTGCAGAGCTCACTAGATCTCCTGTAATGGTTTTGAATCAAGCTTGACTTTTGGCGCTTTAACAAGTACCACTGAGCAATTTTTTTCTTTAGCAAAACTAAATTCTATTTTGGAAATTAAAAAAAATAATATTCTAAATTTAGTAAATTATTAATTGTTCTTTCTATTGCTCCCCAATATCTCTATCTCAAAAAACTTTCCTGTGAGCTGGGTGTGGTGGCACACCCCTATAATTCTAGCACTTGGGACGCTGAGGCAGGAGGATCATTGCGAGTTCAAGACCAGCCTGGGCTACAAAGTGAGCTCAAGGCCAGCCTGAACTGCATAGCGAGACCCTGTCTCAAAAAGACAAAAAACAAAACAAAACGAAACAAAAACCTTTCCTGTATTATTTTCTCCTAATTTATTTCATGTTTCTTTGCACTAGATCTTTAAAGACTGAGTTTAGACTCACCCACAGGAGCTCTACTCTTGTTTTATCTTGGAACTCTGGGTAAGAGTTTGTTTCAGAAAGGAGTACAAATGCCATTTTTCATTTTATTTTTCAGTTTCAAAACACATTTGTACACTTTTAGAAAGGTCAAAATTAAAAGGTTTGACAGGGGCTGGGGATTTAGCTCAGCGGCAAAAGCGCCTGCCTGGCAAGCGCAAGGTCATGAGTTCGGTTCCCGGTACCGGAGAAAAACCAAAAAACCAAAAAAAAAAAAAAAAAAAGGTTTGACAGTACTAAATACTGGCAAAGATACAAGGCAATTAGAGCACATTTACTTATACACTGTACAGCTATGCATGAATGGTACAGCTATATAAAAAAGATACAGACATTTGGAAAACTGTAAGAAAGTATCTGTTAAAACTTATAAAGTAGTCATGCATGGTGCAAGCCTATAATCTCCACCCTCTGGGCGTCAGGAGCAAGCACCAGCCCAGCCTGGGCAATAACCTGTCTCAAAATTTAAAAAATAAAGGACTGAGGAAGTAGTGCAGTGTGAAATTCTTCAGTTCAATCCCCAATTCAGGAAAAAAAAAAAAAGAAATGAAAGAAGCTTTTAAAGTGTGTCTGTGTATGTATGCCTGTGTGTATACACATATGCTGTATACGAGTCGGTAATCTTAACCTAGTGTATGCCCAAAAGAAACAACTGCTTATCCACCAAAAGTAATAGGAAACTTTATCCATAATGACATAAACTTGGAAACAACTCAAATAGCGATCAACTGAAGAATGGATAAACTGTGGTTTATGCACTGGAACATCATGGAGTAATAAAAATGAAGGAACTATACAGCTAATTTACAACAACATGTAAGACTGAAGGAAGGAAGCCAGGCACAGAAGGTTATATACGCCCGACTGCACTGATATGAAGCTCAAGGGTAAGCAAAGCTCATCCACGGTGTCAGGGGTTTGGAATATGCGTTTCCTTCGGGTGCAGGAAACGGCGCCGACAGTAGCAGCGCAGAGAAGATTCCTCAGTGCTGGATATGGCAATTATACAGAGTACACAGACGTGAAAATTCATCAAATCGTATGTTGAATATCTGTATATTTACTATGTATCTTAAAACTTTAACTTAAAAGATTCATATAGTAGCAAGAATCTTAGACTAAGCCCTGGAAAGTTCTAGTCATGGTTCTGAGGTGCATAATTTTTGACAAAGCACTTTCTGGTATTAATCTTAAACCACACAAAAGCCAACTATCCTTACCAATAAAAGTACCTAAAAATAAAAAATCAGAAGTCACTAAGCTGTATGATAGACACTAAGGCCTAAGGCCTGAGCTCAGTGAAAAAGGCCTTTCACTGCCTGCAAATAGGATTTACATCCATCAAGAAAATGTAAGGCTGGGGCTGTAACTCAGTGGTACAGAGTTTGCCTAGCATGCGTGAGTTCCTGGGTTTAATTTGTCGTACTGCAAAATAAACAAGCAAAGGACAATATATAAATGAACAAATGAATTACATAAGTGGAAGAATATACAACGAACTGGTAGAGAACTACCAAAAAAACCATCAATGAAGCTATATCTTTTGTAAGAAAGATTTAGAATTTATATATATGTTATATATGCAAAATACGCACATGCACATACACACACTTACACACGTGTATCTTGATTAGCTAAATATAGGGTAAAAATAAAAAAACATAACTTGTACTCACTTTGACAGAGACACTCCCCCTGCCTTCCCAATCATCTCTTCATGGTGCAGTACCGAGTGGTTCCATGGAATGTGGAGGAACTTCAAGAGCGTTCTCATCCACCGCTCAGGATGCAGGACGAGCTGCTCGTAGTGAACCAACATGCACTTTTTATAACCAACCTCCATACACTGGTTATACATAGTCTCTATGGCACGATTCCATTTGGTCAAACAGTCCCTGTAGCTGTTCAGGTCAAACCCAGCTATAGTGACTTTGCGAGAAATCATTGAATGTACTGATGCCCGGCCGTCTCGGACCATCAGGAGAAACTTGGCATTGGGGAACAACCTCGCAAGGTACGTTAAGGATTTCAGGGCAAAGGGATCTTTGTTACATAAATAAGGGGCTGGCTCCCCGTGTTTCACAATGATTTCTAGTAAGAAGGCTTGCATGGCGGAATCCAGCACTTCGTCGGTGACACCAGCCTCATCCAAGCGGATCTTCTCTTTACTGGACCGTGACCACATCTGCTTCAGGGCCAGGATGCGCGGGATGACCCTGGTTTCCTCTCCGCAGCGGATGTCCGGGTGTGCGTCCAGCATGGCCCTCATGAGGGTGGTTCCGCTCCGAGGCACGCCGCCGATAAATATTAGAGGCATGTCTTTGTGGTAGGCAAAGGTCTTGTTGGCTCTGGGGTCCGGGCCAGTTCGCACGGTCGACTTCACGCTCTCCAGCTTCACCGGTGGGCTCCGCTCCTCTATGCGGTGGTGGCATTCCATGGCGTGCTGGCCCAGGTAAAACACGGTCACGGAGCTAATCACCAGACAGGCCAGGAGTAAGTTCTGCTTCAGTTTCCCAACCATCTTGTGCGGTTATCTTATTAGCAAACAGACGCTGTGCTCAAAATGATTTCCAAAAAATGTTCAGGCCATGGAGATGCTACTTGAGCAAGATGATCAACACCTAGCAGAGAAAGGAAAAAGGCCCTTTTATCATATTACAATTGTTTACAAATCAGTCACAGTTACCACCAGGGCACTGCAGCTAGAAAGAAGCGGAAGCAGTCTTGGATGCACTGGTATCTTAGAACACGGTGTACACAAATATGAGCACAAATAAATCAGTGTGCATAATGAGAAACAACTTTTCTAAATGCAACAAATCTGAAGCTTTGTATCTGGCACAGAATGAAAAAATAAACACAACTACTTCTCTCGAGTCGAGCAGATCTTTAATGCACCCACATGTTTGGAGTCCACTCTGAGGCTGGCCACTTGTGTCCACATTCACTTCAAGGCCTAACACTCATGACCTCCACATTCTACTGTAAAGAGAAATCACAGAAGAAATACCAAGCACAACTTCCAAATCTCTAACGGAGATTCAGGGCACGCACCCCACAACTTATTTAGGTACTGCAGACCGGACAGCCAGGCTTGACTGAGGACAAACTTGAAAGGGGCAGCAGTACAGTGACCTCTGCTCTCAGAAGCAAAGTCTTCAGCACAGGCAGATGTGCAAACGAGGACAACGAAATGTGACCAATACCTCACTGGAAATATGCAAGGGGACACTGGGTGCACAATGAAAAGGGCCGTGTAAGTCCATCCTGGGATCCTGCAAAGCTGTACAGAAACCAAGAGGGAGAGGGGGTGTGGGGGTTTACATCTGTAATCCCAGCTACTCAGGAAGCTGAGGCAGGAAGGTAGAACATTTGAGACCAGCCTGGGTAACTTAGTGACCCTGTCCCCCCATTTTTTTTTTCCCGGTACCGGGAATCGAACTCACAACCTCATGCTTGCCAGGCAGGCACTGTGACGCTGAGCTAAATCCCCAGCCCCCTGTCCCCAAATTTAAAAAACATTTCAAGGGCTGAGGTTGAAGCTCAGTGCTAGAGAGCTTGCCTAGCATGTACAAGGCCCTGGGCTTGCTAAGCAGTACTGTGTGAAAAAACCTGAAAAGAAAATAGCAAAAAAGAGTATTGTAAATCACAGGAACTCACATGCAGAGCACACAGGCAGCATGAGCAGGTGACAGGAAGTAGCCCAGGAGAGCTTTGAGGAGCCTGTGGTCGAGCCTTGGCACACGGGCAAGATCTGGGCATGCTGGGCACTCCAAGCCGCAGGTACACTTGGGCCAAACCACTGGCCACACGCTGGGAGGCAGTCAGCAACCAGACTACTCTTAAGACTTTAAAAGTTCCCCTGAAGCCTCACAAGTGTGATGGTTAATTTTCTGTGTCAACTTGACTAAGTGGTCAGTTGTTCGGCCAAACGTCCATCTAAATATTGCTGTGAAAGATTTTTTTTAGATGTGATGAGTATTTAAATCCACAGATTTGGAGTCAGGCAGATTCTCCTACATAATACAGGAGGACCTCATCCAACAATTAGAACACTGAGCTTTCCTGGAAAAGAAAGAACTCAGCTCCAGACGACAACACAGAAACAGTGCCTGAATTTCCAAGCTAGTGTGGAATGTGGATTCAAGACCACAACATTAACTTGTACCTGCCCGGCCGCCCCGTGGGGCCCAGACTTGCTAGCCCCTCATCACCGTCACAGGAGCCAGTGGCTTTGAATCAGTTTCTTCTCCTTCTCCTCTGCAGTCTGCTGACCTGCAGAATTTGGAGTGAAGACCACGACAGCTTCCTGACCGTCCTGTGGATTTCACACCTGCCAGGCCCACAACCACGTGAGCCAGTTCTTTAAAATCAGCCGCTACCTTTCCCTCCCCCAGCCACCCTGTACACATACTCTCCAGGTTCTGTGTTTCTGCAGAGTCCTAACACAGTAAGTACACCTGGGACAACGACCAACGGCACTGGAAAAATACATTCCGAGTGACAGGACTTCCATGCAGTAGGCCTTTCCTCTTCCTAAAGCCAACTATAAACTTGGATGAAACTGACAAACAACCCTAAGGGTTCTAAGGGTCTAAAACTGATTGATGCTTAGAAACTGTAAAAGCTGGGTAAAAACAACATCTGTGTAGGGACACTCCCGCCTTCCACCTCCCTACTCGTAGGTGCCGAGGTCCTGCAGGCGCAGGCACGGCAAGGCACACCATGAGGACCGCTGGCTTGGCGCTAGGGTGGAGGGGATTTGCTGCATTTGGGGCAGTGCACAACACACGCCTGCCACTCGCACCATCAGTGTAAATGATGGGCTTGGGGGAGGTGAGCAAGCAGAGTACTTCCACTAGGCTAAGGCTGCGGGCATGGTGGGGACAAGTTTGTGGTCCACCCTGAGCCTGCACACAGGTACAAAGGAGTGCGTGTTTGTATTTGTGTGTATGTGTGACGTTAGCATACACCTACATGAAATGTCCACACAAGGCAACTTGACAGGGACACAAAGCCGGGCACAGGAGCAGAGACCTAACTGCGACACAGGCACGAAAGAACTCAGCGCAGAAACGTTCTAAACCTGGACTGTTGTCACGGTTGCACAACTCTCCCACATCTAATAAAAATCACCGAGTTAGACACTGACAATGGGTGTTTCATGATATACAAATCACACCTCAATACAGCTGTTTTCAGAAAGAGAATACATTACTAGAACATATTTTAATGGCCCCTATGGGACATACCAACCAAGATCTGGTTTTTGTTTATTCATGTATTCACTCCCATTGTTATATATTTGAGCACATTATTGTGCCAGGCACTGCATGGAGTTTCAATCAAGACTCAAGAATCACAGAGAATAGGGCTGGGGTTGTAGCTCATTGGCACAAGCACCTATCTAGCAAGTGCAAGGTCCTGAGTTTGATTCCCAGTTCCAAAAAAAAAAAAAAGAATCACAAAAAGAATCACAAAGAATAAGTTGAGATTAAAAGACTGGTTTAATAGAGAAAGACTGACAAGAAAAGGGTGTTAATTGAGATAACTGGTAGCAATATGGCATTGAAAGGTCCAGAAAACTGTGTCCATAACACAAAAGACACACTTAGCCTGTTATTCCAGTATTCCACTGGAAAGAGGGTGGGTGGAAGAAAAAAACCACGACAAGAAAAGACAGCAAATAGAAAACAGAATTAATATTCACCCCTGTAACAGTACCATATTGGCTGAAGAAACTAAAACCACATACAAGCATGCAGGCACACACACAGTGTAAAATAAACTCTCTTGAATTTGCTGGACTGGAAAAGACAGTCAAGAGAGTTGAGAGCTTGTGTTTCAAGCATAACAAAGGAAAACCCCATCTGGACATATCCTGCAATTTAAATATGGAGGAAACAGTTTTTCAGGCTTCCAAACACGGACCAAAGGACCAAATAACAAACTGGCATTAGATGTCCCCAGTGTATTAAATGTTGTCCTCTGGTTTCCGTGTGTGTGTGTGTGTGTGTGTGTGTGTGTGTGTGTGTTTTCTTTAAATACACCATAATGAACACATCTGCTACTTTTCTAACTGTGAAAAGATAAATCAATATTTTAAAAACAATAGAAGTCTGTCTTTTAAAACGGTACTTAGACTATGATTTGAAGAATGAATAGGCGGTGTTGAGCAGAGTGAAGGGAGGAGCATTCCAAACAAAGGTAAAGCCAGGCGTGGTGGCACATGCCTGTAATGCAAGCACTGGGGAGGCTGAGGCAGTGCAAGTTCAAGACCAGCCTGGGCTACAAAGTGAGCTCAAGGCCAGCCTGAACTGTATAACGAGACTCTGTCTCAAAACAACTACAACAAAAAAGACAAAGAAAACATTCCCGCAAAGCTTCATGTGTGTGGAAAGTGACTGGATTACAGGGGCACTATACTCACCAGTGATGATGAGCTCACTAGCTGGATGTGCTGTTAGGAGGTGGGCCTGGCTGGAATGGGTCACTGGGGTATGACCTGGAAGGGTGTATTCTATTTTTTTTTTTTGTCTTTTTTTTTAAAAAACAGGGTTTCGCTATGCAGTTCAGGCTGGCCTTGAGCTCACTTTGTAGCCCAGGCTGGTCTCAAACTTGCAACCATCCTCCTGCCTCAGCCTCCCAAGTGCTGGGATTACAGGCGTGTGCCACCATGTCCAGCTGAAAGGGAGTATTCTTGCCCCTACTTCCTTCCTTTGTTCTCGGCTTCCTGCCTGCGATGGGCTTTCCTCTGCCAAGCTGTTTCTTCCATGTAGCCAATCAATCATGGATTGAATCCTCTGAAAACCACAAGCCAAATTATCTTTTTTTTTGGTTTTGTTTTTTTTCTGGTACCGGGAATCAAACTCACGACCTTGTACTTGACAGGGAGGCACAGTGCCACTGAGCTAAATACCCAGCCCCCAAATTATCTTCTTTTAAATTGTGGGTATTGAGTATTTTGTTCCAGCAATGGAAAAGTGACCAATATAGAAAAGTGGTATTTGGGAATGGGGTATCCAACCATTTGCTCAGAAGTCTCAGGGACTTGTTTGGAAAAGTTTGGAGAAGCAAGCTAGAGAATCCCTAGAATGCTGTAAACAGAGTTTGATGGGTGATTCTGGTCAGAGCTCAAGACCAGAAGGCAGATAAAGAATGTAGACAGAAAGCCAGATTCAGAAGTTTTCATTTGGGAACAAGGGCTCTATCGGCAGCTGGACTAGAGGCCATGTGTATTAAACTCCAGCAGAAAATTTGTCTTCATTTTGCCCATGTCCCCAGACTGCAGGAGACTAAACTTAAGGGCAATAGACTAGCTGATCTAGCAGAGGAAATTTCAGGGCAGTCCAACGTTCAAGCTGTGGCATGGGTACTGCTTGTTACTTTTCACCTGATCTACATGGAGACTCAGGAGCAGAAGGCAGAGCCAAAAGCTATGCAGTGTTTCCAGTTTTGTCAAAAAGGAAGCACCTGCAAAGTTAGGGCAAAGGAGAGCATCACTGCTGAAAAGATTAACACCCCAGGGGCATCACATCAAGTTTTTAGAAAAGGCACATTCTGGGAGTATCTAATGACCACATGTATTTTTTAGAAGTATTTTTATGGATGAGTTATTAAT